TTTTAAAACCCCATTCTCTTTGGTACCCTGCCATGGGCTGAAATAGCAGTTTAACAAGATAATAAAAAGCAAAACCATGTGAGGTCGCTCCCATTTGGAGCAATAAAACTCCGATCTCTCTGGGTTTAAAGATTTGGGATAATGCCTGTTTGTATTATATTTATTTGGAGTGTAGTCTCCCAAGGCAAGGAAGCGGGACGGAGGAGGAATTGTTTGGGTAGTTTAATGGGTGATCCCTTGTGTCTCTGTCTGAAAGCCGGAGGTTACAGAGAACTTATCTTACTGTCATCAGAGAGGTATAAATGTTTGCTTCTTGAAACCCGTTGCCTGAGCGCTCGTGGGCTTTGCCCTGGCCCAGGAGGAGACCTCCCTGGCCAGATGGGCAGCCCTGTTATGGAAGAGGGGGGACTGGAAGCAGGAGCCCCTGTTTCCAGCCTCACCACCCCATCCCCAGGCCCTTGCTTACTGGCTTCAGGATGTGCTCCTTGTGTGATGTTCTCATTGAGGGCACTTTCACTCTGCCCAAGCACTCTGATACTCCTGGTCTGGGAAGCCGGGATCCTTGGTTGTCTGGTGGAACACTCAYGTGGCACACGGAATACAGGAAAACCACCTGAGACGCCTGTGAGGAGCTGGTTGAGATGGGCCCAGCTCACAGCGCGTGTTGGGTGAAGTTCCCAGTAAAACAGTTGCTCCAGTGATTTCCCCGTGGTGCCTGGCAGGGAATGATCCCTGAGGGTCTCCCCCATGGCTGAGAGGGAGCAGTGCTGGTTTGCACAAACCAAGGAGCCGCCGCCGAGCCTCCAGTGACCTTGATGTGGAGCCAGCAGGTACTCACAGACACAGCTTGCAGGCTGGAGGGGAGCCGACCCCATCTCACAGCAAAGCTGATGCAAAGGGAAAAGCCTCAAACTCCCAAGCCCGTTTTCATGAAGCTAAATCAGGAGGCCTCCTTGCAGAGCGAGCGAGGTGGCATCGAGCTCCGCAAGTGCCAGCGGCTGCGTGGGCGATGAACTCACTGCTGTCGCTGGCCCTGGGCCAGGGCTCGCGCGTGGCGAGAGGCAGCAGAGAAGCGAGGCCGGGGCCGGTCCCGTCCGTACCGAGGCCATGGAGGCCGGTCCCGTCCTGGGAAGCTGAGGGTCTGAGCTGAGCTGGCAGCCCTCGCTTGCTGCTGACACCACTGGGAGAAAGCCTACCACTCCTCCCGGGGGATCTTCCCTTTTCTTCAGTGTTGCCCTAACCTAATCCCCATGGAACTCAGCGTGTTGTTTCAGTGGGAGCGGGGCTGCAATGCGTCCTGGAGGCAGCTGCAAGGTGGGACAGGGAGGGCAGGCGGTTTCATTTCCATGCTGCACCGAGGCTCTGCTGCGCTGGCAGCGGGTGATGCGGCCACCGCGAGTCACCAGCCCTGGGTTGGGTCATCGCTGCTCCCATGTTGGGTCATCACTGCTCCCACGTAAGCTCATTGCTGCTCCCGAGCGTCTCCCGCCTGGGCTGGGGCTTTCGGAGCCACCTGAGAGGCAGCATGTGCCCAGCAAGGCAGAGCCCTGCTGAATCGGAAGGGCTTCGGAATTCAGCCTTGCTGAATTCAGAGCGCGGCTCAATCYGCAGGTGGAGCGGGAAGTGGCACCGCGGCAGGGCAGAGGCCGCCTCGGCTTCGTTTTGCTCTGGTTTTGCTCATTACTTCATCTGATAAGTGGGGAACGCTGTTTAATGATGGGGAGGGAGAGCAGGCAGGTGGCCTTTACACCACTTCTCCAAAATGGAGGCAAAGAGAGAGCTCACGGATATGACAGATGATACCTGGAAATTAGATCTAACATTTTCACAGCTGGATTGCAACGAAAGCTAGTCTTGGTGCCCTGGGTTATTGCTGAAGATGTGGACTTTTCTCCAGTCTGCCAGATCGCAGGATCAAATACTGTTTCCTGCTATCCCAGATTTAATTTTCCTTTAAAAAATTGTATCCTCTTGCTCCACCTTACACAATCCTGTGTGGTTAACTACAGCTTGAGGGCTAGAGCTTCATCTGGTGAAGGTCGGTGGCACTGAGTGGTTTTAGGGCAGGTGAGGAGCAACCACCCCACGGGCTTTGTTAGCRTGATGTCCTCATCCCAGTGAACTTCGTCTCCGGGTGACTCAAGGGCAATAATAAGTAATTTCATGTCGTGGTGAGGTTTGGTTAGGGAAAAACAATACAGGGCTCAGATCTCAATAACCCTCTCGGGGTGCTCTGTGCTTGAGAAATCGCACAGTCGTGAGAGGCACTGACTTCTGTGGCTTCCTGCACCCAGATAGTTGGAGATAAGAGAAATGGGCTGTTCTGGTGCCACCCGCCCGCGGTGGCCTCGCCAGGGCACCGGGGAGCAGCCGGAGAGGCCACGCTCCATGGGATCCAGGATCCATGGGATCCTGCGGGGAGCGGGGCAGGCTCCAAGAGCCTCCCCGCAGGCGCTGCGGGCGCCCGTGAGGCTGCGGCCTCCTCCAGCACATCCCAAGGACGCCAGGACAGCCTCTGTGAGGCTGTGGCCTCCTCCAGCACGTCCCGAGGACACCAGGACAGCCTCCGTGCCTGGGGAGCCCCCTGGATGCCCAGCCTTTGCTTCCCCTTGTTCTCACTCCTGGCTTCTGCTCCGTCGCATTATTAATGCTACTGCCCCATTAATGATCCCGGCAGGGAGATGGAGAGGATGAGCTTTCTGCAAAGAAAGACAATTTGTTCTCTTTGTTTCCTCAAGCAGTTATAAATATCAAATAAATGATTTATGGAAGCGCAGYGGGGTGGTGGAAAGCGGCCCCGTTCCTTCCCCAAAATGGGAGGCCCGGCTGCGGCCGGCTCGGCGGCAGGGCCCTCCGGAGCCGCGTCTCACCCTGCCCTTTCCTTCTCCTGCAGAATCCTGGTGAACATGGACAACAACATCATCCAGCACTACAGCAACCACATGGCCTTTCTCCTAGACATGGTGGAAGCCGAGGACAAGGTCCAGGTCATCCTCAAGGAGCTATAAGGAGCCACCGGCAGCACTTACTGGGACTTCTCTCGAAGCCAGCAAGTTTGATCTCAGCCGAGTGCCTCAACTCATTGCCTCTACTTGAATCCACCGTCTCCAGGAAGACCCGGCCACGCGCTGCCGGGCCGGAGACTGCTGGGAAGATCTGTTAGCGATGTGAACCTGAACCTCTCTCTCTTGAATTTATTATTATTATTTTTTATTCTATTTTATTGTGTTCCCATCTGGCAATGGGCCTGCCCTCCTGTTTCCCGGCTGGGATGGCAGCTACGCTAGCCCGGGAGCCCGGGCACAGCCAGGGACCGTCGCTGTTTGCCTTGGCCCGCGGCTGCTCCAACCGTGGGYCTTGGCTTCCTCCCAGACCAGCAGTCATGCAGAACCCTCAAGCCATTTCCAGCGGGGCTGAGCCCAGCTCCCAGCGTCTCCCTCTCCACACAGGTTTCCACAGACACATTTAACACCCGCTGTTCAACGGACACTGCCTGCTCCCATGCCCCCCACCCTGCCGCAGCTCTCCCTGTAAATACCATGAAGGCCTCCCTAGCCCTTGTTTATACATTTCTGATGTACTGTTCCTTTTGTATTTTATATATGTTTAAATATGCATTGTTTTGTATTTGACGCGGTACGGTGACACAGAGCATTTCAAACACAGGCTGCTTCACATTTCTCCGTGAACTCCTTTTGTAACTGTGTTGTTGGTTTTGTCGTTTTGGATATTGGGGAGCAATAAAGGTTCAAAGGCGGAAAGCGAGGGGCGCTCGAGCGGCGCGGCACGGCGGGAGCCTCGGCRGGCCGGCCAGGGAGGCGACCCCGGCAGCACAGCGGGGACTCGTCCCCATCGGGCTGCCCCGTCGGGTTGCGGCGCGAGACCCTTGTCAAGGCTACGAGGATGATCYGGGGCCTGGAACATCTGCCCTAGGAGCAAAGGCTGAGGGAGCTGGGCCTGTTCAGCCTGGAGAAGAGAAGGCTGAGGGGGGACCTGAGCAGTGTCTGTAGATACAGAATATTCACAGAATCACAGAATATTCAAGGTTGGAAGGGACCTCTAGAGATCATCTAGTCCATACCTCAACGGAGGGAGCGAGGAGGAGGGGACGGCCTCTTTTCAGTGGTAGCCACTGACAGGACTAGAGGAAACAGCCACAAACTGAAGCACCAGGAGTTCCACAGGAATGTAAGGAAAAATTTCCTAGCAGTGAGGGTGACGGAGCCCTGGAACAGGCTGCCCAGAGAGCTTGTGGAGTCTCCTTGTCTGGAGATCTTTAAAACTCACTTGGACGCAGCCCTGTGCCCCGTGCTCTGGGTGACCCTGTGTGTGCAGGGGGTTGGATTAGATGATCTCTAGAGGTCCCTTCCAGCCTTAAGGATACTATGATTCTTAACCCCTCTGCAGGATGGGGTGGTGGATGGGGAGGGGACCCTGCTGCGGCTGCCGCTGTCCTCCCCGCCGGCTCCTCTCCTGCCRCGGCGGGCGCAGGTCCCGGCACCTCCAGGCACATCCCTTCCATGGAGCACAGCTGCTCGCAGGATTTGCCTTCCCCAGCCGGGGTGACATTCTAAGCAAGTCAAGGAAAAAAAAAAAAAAACCTCCTGTTTTCCTTCCGCTCCTTGGAGACAGCTCAGCCTTTATCCGGGAGCGGCAGTGTCACCTAAAGGCTGGCTCGGTGTCCTGGCAGGGACACGCACTGCACGGGCTGCCACCCCCTGCCTGCACAAACAGGCCCAGGGCACCACAGGGCAGGAGCTGACTGAAACCACAGCTGATCCTCTGCCGGGTCACCATTACCTTCCCTCATCCTCCCTGTGCCCTCTCGCATCCCAAATTCCCCACAGCTGCTGCCTCTCGGCTGCCAGGGCTTCACTCACCTGTGCCCTGTGCTAGGAGCTGTCTGCAGCTGCTTCCCATTAGCCAAAAGATCCCCCAAGGCCAGGCAGCCTCTACCCTCTCATTCCTCTTTTAAGCCCTGAGAGCTGAGTTCTTCCCTCCTGCTTCTTAGCCTTCACCCTGTGCTTTCCCCAGTGCTGTTTACTGTGACCAGGAAACGGAGACTCTGCTCCCGCTGGACTGAGGGACTGAAATTGTGGCTGGTGCATTGCAGGTTACCTAAGTGTTATTRTGATGAGAAGGGCCTCTGAGATGAAGCTCAGGTAAGTCTGAGGTTTATCAGCCTTAGAAGATCTCTCCTGGTGCTCTACCTGGCCGCTCGTCTTCCTCTCAGCGACTCCTTCTCCAGCAGAATTTCTCTGATTCAGAGCGGGAGCTGCATGGGGCTGCACTCGCAGCTTTCTCGTGGCATCGTTTCACTGCAGTTCAAAAAAGCATTGCCAAGAATTGCGCCAAACTGGCCATGCTTTTAGAGCCTGTGGCTGGGCCGAAGGCTCTGAAAGCTGCAGGTGCTTCCAGCCGGATCCTGCTGTGTGCCAGCCGGGCAGGGAGCCCCTCCACGGCGCTGCCCATGGGGTCACCTGAGTGCTGAGGCCRGCTGCCCAGGTAAGAGCAGGGGTCCTGCTGCCTGTGGGACAGAAGGCACCCGGCCTGCTGTGGATGAGGAGGTAGATCAGGAKGAGGCTGAGGTGCTACTGCTTCCCTGGCAGAGAAATCAGGGACAGCAGTTAATTGTCCTCCTGTAGGTGGGCAACCGTGACCCAGCTGCTTTCACCCTCTGCCTTAGCAGTTCCTTCACCTGAAGGCCTGGGGAGAAAATCCCTGGGTGAAAGAAGGAAACTGGGAGAGGTCCAGCCTACAGATAGGCAACGGAGGCCCTGTCGCTTCCTCATTCCACGTCTGCTTGGCCAAGCTGGGGACCTTCCACTGAGAATGAGGTTCTTTTCACATGGGGCAGAGGGTCTAGAACACCAGGACCTGGTGCAAAGAGCAAGCGGGCAGTGCTGCGGACACCTCACCCGCTTGCCCAAGGCTTTTGCCTTAGAGAACATCAGAGAAAACTCTTGGAGCTTCCTGCAGYGTGGGAAGCGCCCTGGCTGGAGCTGTGCGGTGCTACACCGTGCAAAATGCTCTCCTTTCTGTTTGCAGGTTGGAGGCACCAGGTACTTCCGTGCGAGTTCTGGTGAGCCTGACCGGTCAGATTCAGAGCGCGGTAACTTCCGTGCGCACGGGGAAGCGCCACGTAAAAGCAGCCGGAGTCGCCGCGCCCGCCGCCCCTGCCCAGGGTGGCTGTTTTGCTGACTGGCTCAGTATCGCTCATCCCTCGCAGCAAAGGCGAGTTGCAGGCGAGGTTGCGTAAAGCAGAGCTCCCAACTATGCGAACGCATTCTTGACTCTTTGCCCGGAGCCCACCAGCTCCTTTTGAAGATTAAGATACGAGTGATGAAGGCGATTCACCTTTGACGGAGCAAAGGTCGTGTGAAAGTATGAACCCGCTTGCGTTGTGCAAAGGGCTCGCGCCGGCAGCCCAGACGCTCCCTCGGCAGCGGCCCCGGCGCTGGGCAGCGAGCAGCGGGTTTGTGCTGATCCAGTGGGAAGGGTTCCTGTCGCCCGGCTCACGAGAGGTGCTGGGYGGCCGGTGGGTGCAGCCGCGTGGCGGGGGACATGGCACATGTCTGCCCTGCGAGYGAGTGCAGGCTCTGCCTGCTCTGCCCTTTCTGCATCCCGGCCTCCCTGCTTGTGGGAGCATCTCCAGCGGTAGCTACCAGGGAAGAATTTCTTTTTGGTTTATCAGAGGACAACACCAAGAGGTTTTTGCAACTTTCATTAATTGTAATAATTATTCACCATCAGCTAAACTGGAAGCCCTCCAGTCCACTTCAGCTAATGATCATCTTCCAATATTTGGTGTGTTCTGGACACKGCTATGAGCTGCTGAACTACTGGGCAACCCTGGCCACTTACTGCGAGTCAACGTGTGCCCTGCAGAGCTTCCAAGTCCCTCTGTGGAGCCTCCCTCTGAGGTTGAGGTTCTCCTGCTCACAGCACTGGGACCCACTTGCTGTTGTAATTGTAGATGAAGGAATCTCTCCCAAGTGCTCTGGGTGAATAAGCACCTACAATGAGAAAGGTGCATAAAAAATAGGCATAGAGCAGCCTGTGAGCTGAGTTTTGCAAGAGCTCTGGTATCCACAGTGCTGGGTGGAGGGCTCTGCTGTTCWGTTGTACAAATAACACCCAGTTTCTGTGTCTTTACCCACGCTTATTCATTCCTTGCATCCCCACCCAAGCAGCTCTGAGACTCTCAGTGTGTGGTGTGGTTCCCTCTTGACATAATGGGAAAAGCAGCATCCTGTGTTTTGTTAGGACACCCACATATTCACATTTGGAGCTGGAGATCCACTGGGATGGATACCAGAGAGGAGCAAAGATCGCGGTGGGGACGAGCAACAAGGGGAGAGGGACAGGAATGTAACTCTTCTTTCTTCCTCCTCACGACGTGGAAATCTTTAATGAGGGTAGTGAGGGGACCCCTCTGCTCCACTTTCTTGTTTTTCTCTTAGGTTTTTCCTAGGACAGGTATAATGAAATTTCTGGTTGATGARGCAGGTACTGAAACCCTCAGCGTGTGTGAATGTCCTCACATCTCCTACTGGAAAGGGGTGTTAGTCACAGAATTAGAGCTTAATGTTAACGTTTGGTGTTTGTGGACTCTGGGCTAGRCTCAACTTTCCTATGTTGAGAGTTGCCTTGATCCTCTATATTTGACAATACGAGTAGGAAATAGGCTAGAAATACCATTCTTAACAATTCTGGGCCAGATCTTCACCACGAATTAAGCTGCCTAGCTCTGTTTCTTTAACTGAGACAGATTAATTCATGTTAGCTGGGGACTTTCTCCTAGTGTAGCRCACAGGAGAGCTGGAAGGAAGCTGGCATATTCATGTGGCATGTGATCTGCATATGGCTCTAGAAATGCCCACTGTGCCATCAAGAGGATTCTGGAGAGACTGCTGGCACCAGCATGTTCTCTAGCTGTCCTTCCTCCCCTTTCACCAGGCATTTCCTGATCAAAAGGTCCAAGATGTTTCTTCTTTCAGATCTATGTCTGGTAACCCTTGCAGAAGCCCATGGAGCAGAAAACAGAATGGTATAAAGTCAAGGAGACTCTGTGCTGAGATGCTCTGTCACACTGCTCTCCAGCTTGGGTATGGAGGCTTTTTCTGCTGTAACAGCAAACCTTTTCTTCTCTCCTTGCAACTGCTCCTCTTTTCCACCAAAACAGTAACACATCCCAGGTGAAATGTCTGTTGTACCAACAGCCAGAATTGTGTGATAGTCCTACACAGGTAATGTAACTCACAGAACCTGTTTCTCAAATGTGCTGACAGTCAGTTATATTTTAATGGTCTTTACATTGCAAACATACTTTTTAGTTTTTGTTTTTGTTTTTTTCCTTTCCAATCTTGCCATTAAAAATAATACTATAAAATAGGCACCAACAACGCAGAAAGGTGGCGTCAGGACTCTAGTCCTGCTTCTGCCGTATTGCTCCCGTGTGCCCTTTGGAGACTATTTAGCCCAGATAGGCAAAGAGACTGGAGCATCTAAAGGTGTCAGGAGAGACTGCAGTCTGAYCCCATATGGATTTAGGCACTTGATGCCCATTGTAATCCCACTGTCCCCAATTCATAAAAGGTTCTATGTGTTATGTGCTACTGATTTGAGGTACCTTCTGGAAATGGCATGGATCTTTGTGTGTCTACCTGCCTTTGTTCATGGGCTCTCCTACTTTCTGTGCATAGTTCCCTTCCTGCTGAGTGTGTGATAGCGCTGTATAGTCACCTTGTCACCTTGGCAAAGTGTTTTGGTGTGTCTCTTGTAGTGAAGAACAACTTTCATTTTCACCTGGCCCGGGGTAACCGTCCAGTGATCCTCTCCCTGTCCATCGCCTTGTATTTGACACAAATGCAGCACTTGAGCRGTTCTGCTTTGGAGACCCTTTGTAATCCACCAGGTCATAGTGGCCAGGCCCAGGCAGAGGAGGCTCCTTGCAGGGTGGGATGGCTGGGGCAGAGAGAGTCAAGCAGAATTTCTGCCTGTCAAAAGAGAAGAGGCTTGAGAAACTTGTCCTGAATTGATGGTGTTTTCATGTCTGGAAATAGAGATGTATGGTTTCAGTTAAATGCCCTGGGTAGGTGGATGCTTGAAGGTCCATAAGCAAAATCTTTGAGAAATGAACTGGGCATAGCAGGTGCAGTTGCAGTGTCGTGGACAGCTCTATGTATTGCAAAATACAGGACTCGCCAGTTGTCTAGACCCTGGCCTGGTTCTGCTCAGCTGCTCTAGAGCAAGACAGTGCCGAGGCCGAGACAGCTGTGCCAAGTGGCTCTAGCTGGGAGTTCCTCCTGTTCTCTCCTACTGATTGAAATGGGAGAGGGCCCAGGCTCTAATCTTCACAGATGGGTGTGGAGCATTTTGGTGTTTCCTGACAGCAGACTGACAGCCTTCTCGCTTCATATTTAATTTGCCCTCACTTCTGGCCCTCTGTCCTTAGCAAATRCCATCTGGCATTGCTTCTGCCTCTGCCTACAGCTTCCTACTCTTTACAAAGCCCCTGTYGTAAGATACAGCTGCTGAGAGATGTAGTAAAGATACATCTGTTGGGTAAGGAGAGCCATGGGCTTTCTCATGTTCTCATTCTTTTCCATGGAATTTACTGTTGATCTTAATCTCGGGCCAGGCAAAGTCAGTGCGTAGTGACAATAAATATACTTGAACAATTTGCTGATAGGCAGATTTATTTGTCTTCTCATACGATACCAAGAGAGGAGAGGGCTTGGGGGAAGGGAGTTTCCTTTCATGCCTTTAATCCCTTGGAAAGAAGGGGCAGAATGGGATCCATGGGAAGGGAAGTTCTAGCTTGAAAGAAGTTCTTGGTATTTTTGCAAGCTTCTTTCAAGGTCTAATTCCCAGCCTTAGCAGGGACTTGGAAAATACCCACTGAGTCTGCTGAGGCACTACTCAGTTGAGTTTTGGCACTGGTCACACAAAAGAAACACAGCCTAGTCCTGTGCCTGGGATATGGAAGCTTCAGGGTCTTTTTCCAGGTCATGTGCTGTGGCTTCTTACTCTGTAAAACGGGGGCAAAAAATTACCCCTACATCATACAGGTGGTGCAGTATTTAATTACTGTTTTTAAATGTCTGAGAGATTCTGTGATAAGGTACCTGTGATACACTGCCCCAGGGTGTTATCGACTCGCACTCCCCTCCAAGGCAACGCACTGCAGCACTTCCATTTCTGAGGCAACTCCTGCAAACCTTGGGCAACAACTGCCCATATCCGACCGTGTTATATAGTAGGACGTGGGACTCCTTTGCTATTTGAGGTATTTTCATATGACCTATAAAAGTGGCATGTCTTCCARAGCTGGACTTACCTGGGAGGAGTTTTCTTTGCTTCCTTTACAGTTTTACGTGGCTGATACGTTGCATACTCTGTAATGAATCTGTCCATGTTTGTTTGAGGGGAGGTTTTGG